CTCTAAATTCTGCAGCACAAACTGAATGTTGGCATTTTTAAGCACTGATTGTTCAGCACACTGTAATAAATATATTACAAATGGAGGTTTTCTACAGCTTCTAATGAAGCTGCATCTGAACAGATTATCCAAAAGATAGAAAACTGAGGAAGAGTCTTGGACTCTAGAACTATTCTTCCTGTTACATTTCAGCTTCCTGCCCAAACCATACAGGTGCTAGAGGTCTTCTGATTTTTTTTTTTTGTATGCTGGAAATAGAGGTTTTACTATTATCTTAATCCTCAGAGCTTTCTATTGTGGTAAGTGGATCTGTCGTTGCTTTAGAACTCTGTTCATATGCCTAACTAACCTATTGCAGCAAAAAATACTGAACTATTTTATTCAATTACTAAACTACATGGCAGCAAAAAAGTCTCCACTCTTGATCACAGTTATGCCATTCAGAAGGGCTCTGACAATTCTGTGGGAAATGATATGTTTCCAACAATATTACTTTGGCTATAACCTTATTATAGACATTACTAAGTTCAAAATCAATACAAATGCAAGCGGTCCCTACAGCAAGTATAAGTAGCAGATGTTTTCCTGACCAAAAAACATTCCCACCTCTCAGGTCCAAATTAAATACAAACTAGGGACTTAATCCATCTTCCACTGAAGCTAAAGGCAAGACTTCCATTGGTTTTGATGGTTTCTGGTGACCCCATCATGCCTTGCTTAGTTTCAAGAACAAATTGGGCTTTAGCTCTCTGATTCAAAACACAAGACCCCAGTTTAGCAATTTTTAAGCACACACTTAAATCTGTTCTTAATCAGGAAACTACTTAGGCAAATATTTTTGAATCTTACATGCATGCCTTATATTGTAGACATGCTCAAGTGCCTACCCAAATGGGGAGGGATTATTGAACCAGGGATTACCATATTTACTCAAGTATAAAATGAGTCCCCCCCAATTATCATGGGGAAAAAACCCATTTTATAATCTCATACTAGGAAATCTCACTAAATATATTGTCTGTCATTAAACTGCTGCCAAAAGCAGCATGTGCTCAGCAGTGGAAACCAACTATGAAGTGGATTAAGTTCAGCCAACACTAAACGTAACTATAAAACACATGGCCCACATTGGGCAAACATGCTAATGGGAACCTTTTATCCTTAAAAAAAATGGGTGGGCAGTCCCTCCACAAGGAATAGAAACCAGGCCTGGAGGAACTGCAATACCAGGCTGGCACTGGGAGGTCCAAAGCCAGCCCTTGTACTCTCCCCTTGGTGCCAAAAATGCTACATTTGATCTTATTTTTAAAAACCGAGATACTGATTGAACTACTTTTTTTTTTAAATAAATTTTTCACATCCCAAGCCGAATCAGCCAAATCAAGTCCAAATCCACAAGTCAGTCCAGAACCATAAGTGGCCCTACAACCGGCGAACATCCTCCACCCACGCCAGGGGCTTCAGATATTTCCAACATCTTTTGGCAGGCATCCTACATGCAGGCCCAAGCCCGGAGACTCGGGATTTGGATGCCCCCAAGTTTCACCTGCCCTCAGCCATATGGCTGCAGAAGCAAGTTAGGGAGGACCCTCCCATTTCCATAAAGTGGGCTTTAAGCCCCAACACCTCAGCAGGTACTAAACCACACCAGAAGAACAGTTATCCCCAGGAACACTTAAGGAAAACTGCCTTCATGGATCCAGATACATGGTATTTCCCTGGAACCTACCACAAAGATAAATTAATATAACCCATTTAAATAAGACATATGGTAGTGCCTCTTAAGTACAGTCCCCCTCAGCACTGACTCTGCATTAAGTCACAGTGAGCCATGACAATGCATACATTTTTACTTCCTCTTCACTCCCACGGCTGAGCTGTCCCTTTCTTTTCCATTTCCAATGATCCTTCTTTCTTCACTAGCCTTAAATGCCTGGCCAATAGCCTTAAATGGGGTCCCAAACAGCTCATCCAGAATTCCTCTGTCACCACCTCTCTCAGCCTCAGGCTGGTTAAAATTATTAGTGTGGCTATGCCTTCCATGAGTTGAAGCCAGATCAGGTTGCCCTGTGCTTCATCTGCATATAAATTTTGGAAGGATCCCGGGACTTGTGACAAGAACACCCAGTTGCAGACATAACTAGGGGGCTAATTAGCATATAGATCCTTTGTGGGGAATATCTGGAGTATACACACATACTGAGTGGTGCTGAGTGTGGGGTCACCATGGCTTGAAATGCTGTTGACTCTGCTGGGGCCCAGCCCAATGAACTATGCAGTAAATCATAAGCCTTTGCCTTTGGACTAATTTCATGTAGAGTTTGTATTATATAAGGTGGTGACAAAGTACTGCCCAAAAGTGTGATTATGGAGTACCTGTATTAAAACTTGCAGCAGTTTCCAAAAAAGAGTAGTATGTATCAATTCTGGATAAACCAAATCCATAGGTACTATATGCAAATTGCTACAGCCATGTTTACTTTCAAGGTTATTGTTTTCAAATTTGTTCCTCACTTCCATGTGCTCAGGGGAAGTAGGATCTGAGAGTAAGGAAAGAGGGAAGGGTCTGCCAGGGGAAAGATTTGGGAGGAAGCAGAGAGCAAAGGGGCTACATGACCACCTAAATTTATTTTCCCTGCTGTAGCAGTGGAAGGGAACACATTCAAAACAAACCTCCAATTAGATTCTATACCTGGAAAATTACAACAAATTTATACATTTTCCATATATAGAATCTAATTATTGGGGAGCTGTCTTTTAACCAGTCATCTTTTATTCAAGTAAATACGGTAAATCAACTCATAGTTTGTTCACACAGACACAGGGAAAAGTGATACCAAGCATCCTCTGCCACTGGGTAATTTACATACTGACTAGATTCAGAAACATAACTAGTTTGGAAGAAAATAACTAGCCTATGCAAAGAGAAAATAAACAGGTGTTGCCTGTAAGCCATAAAAAACTCTTTGCTTTTGATCAGAAATGGAAAAATCTTCCCAGCAGTAGGAACAGGAATAGCAGAATGTCCCAAGCTTCATGTTCTACAGATATAAAGGGGTGGGCACCAAATTAGTGAGAGGATTGGTAGGATCATATGGTATAATATATCTGGGATAATACAGTGGACCATGGCATGGTGGCTAGTGGAAAGTATGTACAGCCCTTTCTGAGCGACCAGCCCCTGGGCTCTAACATAGCCACAGGTAGTCCACGGATTGGTCCAGACAGTGAGACACTGATAAGTAATTTACCAGTTTCCTATTATATGTTTATTCCACCCCCACTCTAAAAATGCCAGATCTTCACTGTGAAGGTTCAGTGAACTTTAAAATGAACACCCAATTCATAAGCTCAGCTATAGACTTTGGGGAAAAAATCATTTGCATTTTGAGGGCATCTGTTTGATTCTTAACCAGTACTATTACTGAACATCCTTGATATCTCTCTTATGAAGCTCCTTGCCTTGTAAACTTAAAGTCTCTAGGGTCTCTAGTTTTACCAAAAAAAATGTTTTTGGAAAAAAAAATATTATTATTAATCCTGTTGACCTTAGTGGGCCCTGCAGGTTGTTTCTGTTAGGAGGAGAAATTGATGGTGGAATCAGGTATCTTTGATGCATTCTTGTTTATTTACCAACCCCCCAACGCACTATCTCCTGGTTTCCTGAACACAAAAAGAATCAAACAGCAGGAGACAGTTCTGTGCTTATGGCTCCAAGCCTTTTTTTCAGGCCACACCTAGCCCAAAGCTTTCTCTTTTAACCTTCCCCCCACCCCCAAGGCCATGCTGCCAGGATTGCTGTGGTTAATGCTACCTTCTTTCTCAGCTTTTCTGTTCTTATTTCCTGTTTCTCTGAAACACATAGTTCCCCCAGTCAATGTCCAAGCTCCTGATTTGCTTTGTGAGCCTCCAGGAAAACTCTGAGAACCACATGGTTCAATTTCTGTTGAAACCTTGCCTCCTGCCAATGATTTGGGTGGTACTCTGATTATTTCAAGAATTCCATGATGTCTTAAAACTTCATTAAATGGAGGGTGGTGGTAATACTTTGTAGTTTTGAAGAGGTTTAGCCCTACACAGAATTTGTATTTCAAACCGTAAAAATTGTTTCTACTGCTAAAATATATCCTTACAACAAAAAACAGCAGTTTATCAAATGTTTGTGTAAACCAGACTGGTTCACCTGACAGGTTTCTCCATTTCTGTTATATTTTTCTGTACTGGTGCCTGAGGACATTGACATCTGGACAATCAATGACGGATATACATGCACATGCATGTACACATGCGCGCGCATGTGCACACACACACATACACACACACACACACGCAGACTCTAGAGCACAGACCAGGAAGAGCTGCTGAAAGGGTTTAAAAGTTTGTGTGGAATAAAGCACAAAGTCCCAGTTGAAAGGGCCAGGAGTGAAAGCTGAGCTCCCAAATGAATAAGACTAAAAAAGATAACACCCCGAGGCATCTGTATGTCTCAGCATTTAAATTATATCCCTTGAAATGTCAGTTTGGACTTTGTGCCAAGAAACTGTTGAAGAGCTTTTTCATGAATATACCCAATAGAAGACCAATCTGTTGAAATGAAAGGTGTCTCTAATCATCTGGTATAAACATAACATGTTTTTATTTTATTATGTAACCTTGAATTATCTTGGTCTTTTAATGAGGATTTTGAATTGTTGCTGATGCTTTGTAATTTCATAGAATTATATTGTCTCTCTGTTTGTTCTATGAGGGAAAGTGCTCTGAAGCTTTACTTTTCGTTTATTTAAATGGATTAACTGATTTCAGCAGGTTTCTTTAAAAACAGTTCTGTTTTAAAGGATATATCTTATTTATACAGCTATTCCACTCAAATAAATAGTGGTGACTACATTATTTGTCTGCAGGAATGAAAAATGTTTTTGTAGATTTCAGTTTCTAAGTAATTTGACAGTTCCTGTGTTTTTTTCCCTTCATAAATTATAGGCTGTATTTTTCCTTTTTAGGATTAGTGATTACATGGATCTGACCCCTGTAGATATCGTAGGGAAGAGATGTTACCACTTCATTCATGCTGAAGATGTGGAAGGGATCAGGCATAGTCACTTAGACTGTAAGTACCTCAGTTTTGTCAAAATAAGCTAGGAGAACACCTAATTGCTGCTGAACTATTATTTACATTTCATGATTGTGGATCTTGATCATCCATCTGCCTTTTGTTTTAGTTTAGTGGAAGGTGGTTCAAATTTGTAATTTTTTTTGTATTGCATATTTTCAAGTCCTTTGATAGGTATATAAGATTGTTCATATATGTGTGAATGTGAAATTCAATTTGTATTCCAGTGGTCTCTAATAATTGTCCAGTTACTTGTGCTGTCCATTATTTTACTTCTTCAAAGAGGCATTGCTCAGATATGTAACTCGCTCTCTAGAATAGAAATGAACTCATAGCCTAGTTTTAATTTCTGATGACTTGTGATGTGGAGGCCGACTGAAGTATATTTGGTAGCCTGGAAATAGGGTAGTAGGAAAATGAATCTTGAATGTAGCAATGATTTAACCCTATAGTATATTATCCTCTCTCTACTGTTATGGGTCCTTTCCCTGTAGCATCCAGAAATGCCTAGTATTTGCAGTTCTCCAGTGTCCATTCAGACTAAGATAGTTAGGAGTGGTACAGACCTATAACAAGAGACAACAATCACTCTTAAAATTAATGTGTTTGTCCATATTGGTGCAACTCAGCCCCCAAATTTTTTAGATCAGATTCTTTCCATTTACATCTTAGTTCTTTCATTAAAATCTTTGTACTGTTTTCATAAAAAGCTGCAGGGCCTTTTTGCTACAATGGTGATGGTCTTTCATATGCTTTTATGGGTACCATATCTAAGAAAGCCTGCATTGAATACTGCTAGAATTTTACTTATAGAGGAATTAACCACAGAGCTGTTTACCCTGGACTGTACTTGCATAATACTTCACAACTGAGAGTAGTAGAGGCCCTAAATTTATGATGAGAAAAAGAAAAACAGAGTATAATTGAAGAAAGCCTATGTTAGAAGGCCAAACAAATCTGCAGTCCAGTAGCACCAACAGAACAAACTAATTTAACCCAGTGCTGTAACTAGGGCAGGACAACTGAGGCAGTTGCCCTGGTCTCTGATATGGGGAGGGGTGGCCAAAAAAGAGGGCTGCTCTCACAGGATCATGGCCAGCGGCAATACCAACCAGAAGTTACTGCTGCCGCTCTCTGTGGCAGCTGCCCAGAGCACTTGGCTGCATCGTTAAACCTCGGATTCAGCCTGCAAGGGGAGACAGTGAAAACCATGTGTTTTCATATCGAAATAAAAACAAAGTAAAGCTGGTTCCTGGATGACTGTAGTTTCAAAACTGGAATGAAGTGACCGTATTTTTGCAAATATTTAGCAACCATCTTTGCTATTGGCAGCAGACAAAGACTTCAGCTCTGGAAACTCTTTAAAGGATATAACCTGTGAAATCTGTAGGAACTAAAATATATGCAACTAAAAGGGGGATAAAAAGCAGAAAGTTAAATAACATTCTGTAAGAACATTACAACAACAGCAACCAAAAGCAGCATGGCATTTACATCACTTGCATTCCTGACATTTAATATCTAGGATATGATTGCTCAGAAATGAACAAGCAGATTCAGAAATATACTTGGTATATTTGACATTGGAAATGAGATCTGACAAGTTTCAGTTCTGCTGCACTATCTGGATGAGGAAATAAAATAATATTTATGACTCAGAATGTTCACACATGGCAAGGATGAAGATCCCATTTGAAAGAGACCATAATCTTCTGACTGACCATTTCTCCCTGAGATAGAATATAGTTTATGAAACATCAAGCAAGTGGGACAAGAACCAAGTGAGGCAGTGTGAAAAGTAGCAAGATTGTAACAGGGGCTGGGGCCATTTTAAGAGGGGAGAGAAGCTGGCTGTTGCAGCAGTGGAGAGCAGGCTGGTCATCAAGCCCAAGTGGAAGCCCCATGTGTGGCTGGGGAGCCACATGGCAGGAAGGGGCACATAAACACAGTGCCTAAGCCCAAGCCCTGCATGCTTCAGGGAGAGGAGCTTCCAGAGAGAAGGGCTACTGGAGATAGATGGGCAGGCACCCAAGCTACCCAAGGGAGCTGGGATGGGAGGGCTCCAAGGGAGGTATGGCTTGTGGGCAACATTAATCTCAAGTGGGGAAGATTTTTAGTTTGTGAAGCAGCTTGCTTGTGTTTATGTTACATTTTGACCTTGATACCAAAGGACTGGTTTGTGGATATGGGAAAGCTGTGGAGGCCACGGAGGGGTGATTGCTGGAGCACTCTGTGATAGGCAGCCTAGCCTGGGTTCAGGGATCCAGAGAGCTGAGGCTCATGCAGCCTGGCCTAGAGTCAGGGACACAGAGGGCTGAGTCTGATATAGTGAGAACAGCCTGGCCTAGGGTTGGAGACCCTGAGGGCTGAGGTCTAGCCTAGAGAATGAGACTGAGGCCAGGAGCCAGACCACAAAACTGGGGCCAGGGGCCCAGAGCATGAGAGTGGGATCAGGGGCCCAGAGCACATGAGTGCAAAAAGGTGGCAGGGGGCCAGGAGCCAAGGTCTGGGGCAGTGGACATGGGCTGAGGGACACAGCCAGAATAAAAGACCCAGGCTAGGAAGGCTGAGGCATGGACAAAGGTTCAGGGCCCAAGGACCAAAAGCTGCACTGGGGCCAAGGAACCCAGAATGAACATGGAGTAACATCTCTGAGGCATGGATGTAGCTACAGTGGAGGACTGAAACCATGAATATAGCCTATAAGGCAGCTGGTGCTTTGAGGTTGCCAAAGGGGCAAAACTGGGGCCAGCTGTGTACAAGAGGTACCAGCTGGCCAAATATATATATAATACATATATGAACATGGGCTCGCTCTAGGACCCTGGGGCAGCCTCCCTTAACACCATAATAGTTCCATCAAGGCACAGCAGGCAAGGAAAAGGGAGGGTACTCTGAGGAGCTGAAGTGGAGACTGGAGTCATGTGTCCACCAGGGGGCATCATGACTCACCCTGGGGTGTAGTCCTGCTACAGTGTTCCAGTAGACAGGCACTGAACTACAACTCAGGAGATTCCTTGTGGTGCAAGCTCAGCAACTGATCAGCAGAAAAGCACTTCATATCTCAGTGCTTGTTACCTGTTTTGTTTTTTCCCCATCTTGTCAATTTGGATTGCAAAGTCCTCAGCACAGGAACTGTCTCCAACTGTGTGATTTTTCCCACAGTAGCACAATGGGACTGAAATTTTCATTAGGCCTTTAAGTTCCCCCATGATAAAAATAGTACTAATAAAAATAATAATGATAGACACCATTTTTTCAACCCAAGAACCCTAACTACTACTCACATGTAAATTTTATGACTGGAATAGTGAGATCAAGATGTGCATTGTGCAACACTGTTCAGTAACCAAGTCCTGGTTTTAACCAATAAATCAAAATACATTTCAATTAGGGACAAGTTATATGGCAGTCATAGACCAAGGTTATGGTAAAGAAAATGCCCAAGCAAACCTGTCACCTCAGAAGGGTGTATCTCAAGAAGTAATAGTAGGTATTACAACCCTTGAAGAAGCAGAAGGTCTTTATACTCTCACTCAGAGAAATAATCAACATTTCTAGCAGTTAAAAGGTATGTTGTGGGCATATTAGGGGGATAAAACATTTAATGGTAAACTGCCTATCCTAAATGAGTAAATGCAAATCTGAGATAGGAAGAGTAAAATCCCTTTCTATGATGAAAAACAAATGTGAAGCCCAAGATACAAGAACTTTGTTGACCAGGTGCTGGCTGTTGCAGATTACATGGATTCAGATGAAACCAAGCATGATCACCAGATAGCCTAGCAGAACTGCAGTGCCCCAAAAGCAGAAGTGCTGTTTACCCTGTTTAACCTAAAAGAAGCAAAAGTATTTTTAGGTTTACCAACTACTCCATCTAGAATAGTTTTGTTTGAGCTAACACAGTGTGCAAAAGGTAATGTAAAGAGGAAAATCAGAGCCAAAGTGAAAAAGCTAAGAAAACCCAATGGTAAAATAGAATCAAAACTTCAAAGAGTTGCTGATTGAAAAGGACATGTTTTGAGAAAGAATTCCAGAAGGGATAGGAAACACTTGATAGATTTACAAAAGATAAAGGGATAAAAGAGTTAAAACATCCAGAGTCTCAAAGTGTAAGTGAAAATCCAATGGTAAACATAAACCAAACCAAAGAAAAGTAAAACTGCTGTACAGTGAACTCTGCATGTACATAACCAAGGAAGACTAATATATCATGCCTTTAATTCCTGGTTAGTCAGACCCCAAAAAGGAAAATAAGCAAGGAAGAAATAGTTCCATAAACCCACAAAAATGCTCAGGATGGCTGTTGATGGTAAACTGTCTTTAAATCACAGCAAACCGTAAGTAATTTCTGAAAAGGAAAACTTATTATAGGATTGTAGATAAAAGCAGGAGTCACTTGAATGTCACCACAGTAAGAAGTACGGTGAAGAAAATCTTCAGGTCTGTAAGACTGGGACTTTTTTATGAGAACTGTTGCCCTTCTAGTCCCATTGACTTCTACAGCAGTGGGATCAATCTTTAGAGAGTAAAATTATAGGGATGAAATCCTGACCTCATTGAAGTAAACAGTAAAAGTTACATTGAGTTCAATGGGGACAAGGTTTCATTTTAGTGCTTTATATTTATTAGAATTTGGTGGATCTTCAAAAGAAAGTGCTAAGAGAGCTTTAACACCCTACCTGCTGGCTTTTACCTTTTAGAATGCTACATCGCAGTATCCTCACAAGCACTGAATAGCTGCCTGAATTTCTTCAAAAAACATAGATTAGGAATATGTTCCCTGTCTTGTTCCTCTGGCCTTTTTATTGATTTTTTTCACAAATACCATGGTCAAAGGTATTTTATATAATAATTCAACCCAGTTAAATGAATATCCATCTTAAATTGCTTCACAGGAGTACAGAAAAAAATGATTTTGACAGATAATTTTTCTTGTGTTTTGCATTAATTGTCACTGGTTTACCAATAGATGAGCATATCACTAAATGAGCCAG